TTAGGATCCGAAACGTCAGGCCAATAAACTTCTTGTTTTATAGATCGCATCTTCTCCTTCTGAACTACTTCCTGGGAGTCACCTATCCTCTTATATCACAAATAGCTCCTTACTGTGATCCGTATGGGACTTTCCTATATGAGATCCGACATCCCTCATCGAGGGCTGACACGTGAAATTTTTTGGTTTAGATCATAGCTGTTATGCCTAGACGGCTCTTTTTTAATTAGCCACCGCATTTATATTCATCTACAGTTGCCTTGGCTTTGTTTTGCCGTCGCAAACTGAGGGATGTGTGCAGAAGTCTTAGAACTGTCGGTTATTCAGTCCAGACTAGTTAGCAAACCAAATAATAAGTTAACTCCGTCGTATGTGCGTGTAGGCATGATTAATCTGAGCACCCGCTCAGCTTAAAGCTTGTTGACAAATCGTCCGAGTAGATTCGCCGTTTCGGGATCGATGTCTTCTGCACATACAGGTAGATTTATTGCCAGTTTATGTGCGTTTTGACGAGATATCCATACCCTCATCCATTAACCAATTGCCTACTCACGCCTTTATATCTACTGGCGACGAGGTTATGTGCAGTAGCTGACGGGGTCCATAATCTCCATGAGCCACATGAATTAACGTCAATAGGTCTAACCTCATAACCATTGTTCGGACTTGAATTGACTTTCCATTTGTTTACTCAAATGGGGAAAGTTTACTGGACTTAGATGGCTATTTATCGCTTCTTCTTTAACATTCTACATAGATTTTCTGTTATTCACTGATTTAACCTTACAAACAGCTTAAGCATTCCCTAAATGTGCAGGGAGTTATTGGTTAGAAAGTCATTTTGTGTCTGCTTTTACGTCATGTATGTATGGAAATTAGAGAATTATGTGACTATCCATACGAAATTTAAAGTAAACCAAATTTCTGTTTTAGCGGTGAACAGCCGGTTGCGCCCGTGGCCTTCTTGGATTTTATACTGTGTTCACGTACTCCTTATTTAACAGCGAACTTTTTTTTACTTGAATACTCGTTGATGATCCCTTCTGCATTAATAATCTTTTATAACAATACGATTCTTTGTCCTTTACATTCGGAGATGTGCGTGACGTCAGTCTCAAGTAACCACCCAAAAGGTATTTTTCTTCTGTATACAAGGGTAAAATACGTCCAGCAATTTAATAGAGAAGAAGAACAGTCCGGATCGCTCTTCGGTAGCTGCGGCTAACAGGAAAAAAATTCCGACTGTTGCTACCTTTCGGTAATTTTCCTTAAAAGGGCTGCGGGAAACCACTTGTGTAAACTCTAATCTTCCTTACCAGTTATTGTCCTTGGCATTCTGTGCGTGCGAAGAACCAATTAACCAAAAGCATAGGGGTCTGTGTGAACTCCAACTGGAGCTAATTTACTCTCGCGTACGCTTCTTGCATACAGCTGTTGATTTGTGTTAATTGTTGTTTGGGCAAGAACCCGTTTCCTGACTGTCTGTCAAGTCAACCGGTCATGTACGAACACGGAAAAAAGTAGTGATCCCTGACTTTCTTTGATATACCTTCGAAATCGGGCTTGAATATGTGCACAACGGAGTATGTGAACCTTAAAGATGACGCCGTGACCCGGGTGGCCCAATTCTGGGTCTGGGATAAACTGAATTTGAGCCAACTTCCTGCTCACTTTCTGCCGATTTTGTTAAGGGTCAATCACACAGGACCACACTGACTTCTAGATCCGTCTCGACTTTAGGGTGGGGTGCTTTTCCTACCCTTTGCACCAAAGCTCAGTTGAGAACCTTGATAAACAGTTGCTTAACGATAAAATATCAACAAAAAAAGTATCTGAAAACCAATTCGCCTGGGTGGTGGGCCATCTCCGAATAGCGTTGACAAGCAACCACATTTGTGCTGTATAATCCGGGAGCCTACGTCGTTTATACGCGTGGCTCTGTCACCTTCGTCGGAGAAACGTGATTGGCTGCTAAGCTCGCTAACATTTTTGATGTAAGTCGCACCCAATTGGGTTTCCCAGTTTTTGGTTGGACCTTCATGAGTGCCGCGTTGTTCTAAGCCGTGAAGAACACGGCTGAATTGGCTTGAGGTGCCAGTTCTGCAGCTTAGTTATCGAGTTTCTTGTTTCTCCGGGTCTGCGGTGCTCTTATGTCATGGTTATCGCCGCCACGAAACGTCCTTATTTCAAAGTAGCACTTTTGTTTACTGAACTACTCACGCTCGTGCTCAACTCGACCGCACTTCTCCCTTGTGCACACGAATAAACACTCATGCACATGCATACACACGCACCTTTGTTTGCAATGTTTTGAGACCGTAAAAGCGTACGGGGCCGTTCCTCATCTCGTTTAATGCCGACATGGGGTCACACTAAATCACTTTTCCTACGTGTTGGTCCGTGGCATTATGAGAGCGAGGTTACAGTTCCTTAGAGTCTAATCGAAAACTTCGAGGTGATCAACTATGCCCACTTGCATTCAATGATACGTGTGGCGCACTAGAAAACAGAAAATGGTCTTAAGTTACGACGAGGTTCTTGAGAGATTCTATGGAATAGGTTTGTACCAAATTATCCTCACGATCTGCTGTTCAATGTGTTCTATGATGATGTCCTACGAGTATCAGTCAATGATCTTCCTGCAATATACACCTTCAATTGTTCAGATTCGCGAGTGCAAAACTTCTCCAGTCTTAGATGGATTTCTTCATCGACCTTCACGGCGCTCTCTAACGACCCTTCCGGAATGGGGAGGATATACGCAAACGAGACCGTTGGAGAACAATGCTGGGCAATAGGAGAACGTATTGGCGCCAGCCACATGGAATTATTTGCCTGCTCAGAGTGGCAATTTGATCAGTCAGTGATGCGTCGAACTTTGTCGACAGACTTCACTCTGATTTGCGGCCGTAAACACCTGATCCAGTGGCTGGCGAGTAGCGTGTTTTTCTTTGTCGCTCTGGGACAAGTTATCACTCTCTTTACGGATAGAATCAGTCGCAGGAAGCTGCTACTCTTCTACGTGGTTGTTGAGATTATAATTTCCAGCGTAACCCAATTCGGTACCTACTTTGAAGTTATTTTTGTGCTGCGACTTTTGCGTATGCTAACATTGCCGCTAAACTATGTTGCTACTTGCATTATACAGGAGCTCTTACCCACACGAAAGCGTGGCCTCTTCGGCACTCTTTATTGGATACCCTATATGCTTGGGTATGTAGGATCGTCAGGATTAGCCTACCTAACCCGGGACTGGTATTGGTATCGAATTTATGCCTTACCTTTCATGATCTCCTACCTCCCAATTTTCTTCATCATGCCTGAGTCGCTCCGGTGGTTATCAGCTAATCGAGAATACAAAAACTTTCGCAGTGTTCTAAGGAGAATTGCACGTTGGAACCGAGTGAAACTGGCAGAAGATTTTGTAGAGGAGGCGGTCACATCAATTATCGGCTCAGAAAATCACAAAAAGTTCCCTCATGATCAAACGAAAGTAACAAATGCTGGCGATAAAACAGAAGTGGACTCTTTCGCAGTCACAGATAAGATAAGTGACATTTTCCGTTTAACAAACATGCGCAAAAAAGCGGTTGTGTTGTGCATCTACATGTCAACCTCGTATCTTTCTATGGTTTAGCCACGAGCCAAGACTTTGCAAGCACAAATATTTTATTAAATGTGCTTTGTATGGGCCTAGCCGAACTGCCAGCACCGTTTATTGGTTGGGCGGTAGCCCACTTCTTTTGTAGGCGGCTGTCGGTGGCCATTTTTGCTGTGGCCACAGCCACGACTGTTGTGACTGGCCCAACAGTGAGGCCATTTTCGCATATTGCCTGCACCGTAATCGGCTTTCTTGGGAAGGTGTTGGCCTCGTCCACGGCTGGCTTGGCGATCCTGATCGTGACAGAAGTGTACCCCACAACAATACGCAACATGGGCCTCTTCTTGGCCATGTCACTTAGCTCTCTTGCTTCCTGTCTTGCTCCCGTCATCAACTCCCTGGATGCCATCCACTATGTCCTCCCTGGAGTCATG